TTTCTGTCTTAAACCTGTCATCTGCCATCGCCTTGAGAATCTTGAAAAGAAATGAATGAAGTAATCTCCTTTCAGCCCTACCATCAAAGAACGCTGACGTCAGCAGCATGGACGATGAAGCTGAGGATATCAATCAGCCTGACCCTATGGTTTGTTGGCTACAGTTCATGGCGCGTCTCCACATTTCCATCGATATCCTTAAAATTGCTCAGGCTGAAACCTCGCTAAAACGCGAAATATCGAAATCGCACCAAAGTCTATAGCATTAGGGCCACAGTGCAAAAAGTGGACTAGACGTTATTTGAAAACCAGCGTAACACTACATTACTCTGCTCCTCAACTTTTCAAGGCTGTATTGTCATAAAAGGAAAAATCACTCTCTAAAAACTATCTACATAAGGGGAATAGATTTGATCACAAAAGAATGCTCTATGAAGTCACAATGCAAAATGGGTATGATTTTTGCATTATGCTTGTCAAAAAAACTCAACGCGTCATTTTGCTTTTTCTGATTTTTTACCATTACTGTCTGAAATGTGACCTGATGATAGCTTATCATTTGAAAAGGGAACGAATTCGTGAACATGGCTCATTAGTAGAAAGGTAAATGAAAATTAGAACTGAATTGTGGAGTAGCCAAACTTTATTGCTTCATTTTGAAGATCAATGATGCTTTAGATTGCGACAATGCTAGACGTTGCTGTCATCCGAGCTTTATTAATTACCCATTGGCAAGAGCAGGGAATTTATTGGGCTATGCGCTATTTGCTAAATCGGCTCGAGCAGATCCAGGTGAGACTTTTGGTTCAGACCTACTCGCTCATGCCTGCAATATCGTAATTTACCCAACTACTAAATTCAGAATCATTTTGCACTGCATGGGACGAGGCATCGCAGCAATTCGTTGCCATCTGGAGAAAGAAAGCCGAGTATTGCTGTGAGTGTACCCAATCATTTGATCTTGATTGAGGTTTTCATCGTAGGAAGGAGTTTTGAGGTGTAGGCATAAAGAGATTGACGATTCAGGATTTAAGGAAATGCCATACTATGTTATTTACGCAGCGCACAAAACACTAGAGCCTACCTATAGTATTGAATTATATAGCGGTCAAATATCTTACAGGTTGGATTTTCTGCGTATAACAACACCACTTGGGAGAATTTCCAATTAAAAAGAGACGAAGATGACAAGTCCAAATTGCATGTTGCTTTCAACGACA